TAATCTGTTTTGGTTTGTATAAAGTAGAATAGTTGCAAATAAGGTAAAGATTTTTGAATAGTTGAGTTTTGTAAAAATAATTGTTGTAAAAATTAGAATTAGTTTTTTGAGAGTATCTTCAAGAATGTTAAAAAGAATGGTAATAGCTTTGTTAGTTTTGGAATTATTTTGTTGAATAAATTCAACAAGAAATTTAGATCTACTTTCTGCTATTATACAAATAATATAGTAAAAGCTAGATTTAAGTACTTTACGATTGTTAGTTTTGGGTTTAATTTCCTTGCCTGAATAGAAGTCATGTAAGTGTTGTTTAAAAAGATTGAATATTTTTTTAGAGAAATCTGTTTCAAGTTAGGTTTTAGATTTTATTGCTTCAGAGATAAGAAAGTTAGTAAGCCAGTCGAATGTTGAGTTAGCTTTAATGTTATTTTGATTATTAAAAATATTGAGTTGTTAATTTAAAGATTGTTTTTGTTGTTGTTGTTCTTCTAACTGAGTTTGTTTAAGTTGTTTTTTTGTTGTTGTTGTTAATATTAATTGTTTTGTTGTTGCAGTTGTTGTTCTTAATTTTGATTGCTGAATAAAGTATTATTAATATCCATGTTATCATTAGTATTGTTTGTATTTTTTTCTGTTAGAGTTAAGAGATTAAGTTGGAATAATAATGGGTTTTTGTATTCAAAGAATAATTGTTGAATTTTTTGATGAGAGTAGTATGTAAACTTTGTTAAGATATAGAAGTGCTTTGTTGAGATGTAGAAGTACTTTGTTGGTTATTAAATTGAAGTTGAGTATATAATTTATGTTAAGATTTGTTATTAAATAGAATAGAGTTAGCTGCTAAGTAGTGTTGATTATTAGTTACTTTATAGTTAATAGATAGATTGCATATAGCATATGTATGTTGGTGTGTAATAGGTGAAGGAGATGAGCTAGGTGATGTTGGAATGAATTCAGTGGAGTTTATAATGTTGTGTACAAGAGATTTTTTATCTTTAGTTTTTATAATTATATTAATTGCTTTATGTTCATTGTATGTTTGATTTGTTGCTAAAATAAAGTTTGTATAAAATTTTTCACAGAAACAACTAACGATAGAACTTGTTGTTGGTGTCTTAAAAAAGTAACTAGTTTTAATAGCACTTCTGAGTTCAGTTATTATACAACTACTGGATTGTTTGTTAGAAGAAATAAGACATGATGTATTTATATTATTTTTATGAATTCTGATACCAAAGCTTTTAGAACATTTTTGGTAGAAATAGTTAAGGTTGATAGTATTAGGTGTGACTGTTACCAAGATAGGCATCTTGTGTAACTATATGTACTAAATAATTTTGTAACATTAAAATTTGTTAAAATATTTGTAGAACTAAGTTTTTTAAAAGAATTTTTAGATTTAAGAGTTTCTAAACTGTTTAGGAAAGATCTGAAAAGTGTAGAACTATTGGGAAAGGTAATTGGATATTTAGAAAATTTTAATGAATGCCAAAAGTGAAATTTCTGAGGCAACCCAACAAGTTTTTCTAAAATTGCTTTTGAAAAATTCTGTAAAGACAGGTTTTGGTTTTGTCTTTTTGATGATATCTCAATGAGTTTTAATCCGTTTTTGATAAAATATATATCAAAATGTTCGTTTCGGTGAGCTGAACAAAGTATTACTAAGATAGAAAGTGTATTTAGTTAATAAAATTTCAAGATAATAAGCAAAAACCAAAATTTTAGTTTTTGCAACTTTTCTCAGGAGCCAGATGTTGTCAGAGCTTAAAACTTAGCCGCCTAGGAGCAGAAAAGTGTCCTGAACAAGTTTACTTAAGAGAAAAAATAAGGTTAACTTAATAAAATAATTAGAAATAGTTAAATGTTTTTAGTAAAAATTTGGTACAAGTGATCTGCAGAAAGAGTTGCTTTTACTATATACATTATTTAAAGTAGCATAATAATTATTTTTTTTAGGAATATGATTAAAAAAGTAACGAATTTGGCTAAAAATATCTTGTGAAAGTCTTGTGGGTTTGCAAATAGTGCATTCTTTCATTTCACATTTTTTAATTAAAAAAAATAATGCCTTGACTGACAACTGATCAAAAAATATTTTAAATTTAATCTAATAAAATAAAACAATATTAAATAATGATATAATAAAATTAATATATTCTATATTTAAAAAAATAAAACTTTTTATAAAAAAATCAGACATTGAATATGTATTTATATAATATTCATGCATATATGTGTTTAATATATAGCTATCAGTATCTAAAATTAATATAAAGAAGAGATGAAATACATATTAAAAAAATTTTCTATTTCTTAAAATTAATAATATGTATACAAAGCATATATTAAAATTTTTAAATTTATAAATATTTTAGACTTTTTGAAGTGTAGCATATTTTATTAAATTATATATTTATTAATTCTATTTGTTTTATTGTATATATTTAAAAAATATGCTGTGGCCTACAAGTCTAATTCTGAATTTTAGATATAAATAGTCACATATAGTCCTATAATAGCTTTTGTATATTGTGTAATATATTTTTATTATATATAATTGTTTTTTACTATCATATACTGCCTATTATTTAAAAATAGGTTCTAATACTAGTTATTATTAAAAAATTTACTTTGTTTTTAATGGTTTTCTATGTTTTATTAGATTTTAATATAGATTTATCTAATTTTAAAATTGCATCAAATATTTGAACAATATCTTCAGTTGTTGTAGCATTTATAGTTGTAACTAGTTTATCTTTTAAATTTTGATAAGAAAAAATACTATTTAAAAGTTCTTTTACAGGTTATAAACTATTATTTAATTCTTGTTTAAGATTTGAATAATTTTTAGCTACTTTTCTAATATTTTTAATTAAATTACAATCTTCTAAAATTTTTTCAAATTCTTTTGTATATTAATGCAGCAGATTGAAGCCTAATATTTAATATTGATATAATTCTTTCAACAGGATTTTTCAAAGAATGATTTGGTGAAGTTTTTACAGCCACTAAATAATCAAGATCAAGAGACAATTAAAGAGAAATAAGAGAAATTTGAACAGATAAATAATTAACACAATGATCAAACCTCTATTTGTATACAAAAATAAAATTGGCAAATTATATCATGATTTTTAATAATATGATAAAGCTCTGTTGAATAACATAAAAGTGATAATGTTTTAAATATAAGTTCTTTTAAAACTATAAATACATAGCCTTTATAAAATAAATTATTAATTGATTCTGGTATATTGCATCTTATTATAACATTAGAAAAATTCCAACTTTAGTAAAATCATGATTACTAACTAAAAAAGTTTTATTTAAACTAACTAAAACTTGCTTTTCATGTTCTACTGCTGTTACTGGATTTCCAAGTTCACCTATTTTACAGCTATGTTTATTATCAAGAAAATAAAATGAACAATATTTACAAAATTTTATTGCTAATTCTTTTTAATATTGAAAAAATATTAAAACATAATGTATATCAGAATGATTTATATGACATTGTCAAATTTGAACCATAAACTTTAAATTTAATTAACTAGTATATTGTAATGTATTTAAATTATAAGAAGATTTCGGCCAAAATTGTAACTGAACTTATTGATTACATGGAATTGGTGTTTTAAGAAGACATAATACAATAACTTGTTGTATAAAATCATTAACAAAAATTACTTTGGCTAAATAAATTACTAAACTATGTCTATGATCATTAACAGCAAGCAATGAACTGCAGTACTAGCAAGAAAATCTTGTATTACTTTCCAAAATACTTCATAACATATTGGTGTACTAGGATTATATTCTTGCAAATTAGTAATAATTTTTGAATCACCAATCTGTAATGCTTATTTAATTCTACTATCTACTTCTTTTTCATTCTATTTTCAGTTATAGTATAATCATTAGTTAAGTTATGATATAGTAAACACAGTGCTATTAGTTTAACTAAACCTAATAGAGTTTTATATTTAGATTTCTAAAGTTTGCACATTGCATATGTATAATAAATATGTATATCTTTTTTTAATAATTTTGTTATTTCAAAATTAAATGACATTATTTCTGAATCAGATGCAATTAAAGGTATATACTATAAATATATTACTGAACAACCATGCTTACTATTATGTATATATCGTGCCAATTTAAAAGATAATCCTTTGTCTAATTCTTTAATATATCGATGTTTTAGCCTATTAATAAGCTTAGTTAAAATATATTAACAAAAATACTTTATATTTAAAATTATAATTAATAACTTATGCAGGTTTATTCAGAAAAAATGATCCAATATTTATTAATTTCCAAAAATCAGTTTGTTCAAGAAAATGAACTAAAAACTGATAATGACTAATAATATAAGATTTTCTAATCAAATTAGACTGCAAAATAGTAGAAAAACTGTTTTTTTTTTAACTAACAAGAAAGATGATTTTGTGTTGTAGTTGTTAGTTGTTTTTATAAAATTTCCTGATATCGAGATAAATTTGTAGCTAATGTTTCTAATAGATTAACAAGCCAATAAAATATGGGCTTTTTAATCTATACTGATCTTGTATATTTAAATAAAATATTCAAATGATATGCAAGTGTAGTTGCATCAAACCATTCTCTTGCTTTTTTTAAACAAATCATATCATAACATCTGGTAAATTGTTCCATTCCAACAGAAATATTCAGCTTTGATTTTTTAACTTTTCAGGATCATATTTATTTACATACCATAATGTAGCAGCTAAGTCTTTAACAAATTTCTTTCCAGTTGTCATAGCAGTATCTTTGCTCCATCCATCTTTATTTTCATGAATCCATTCAACAATATCATATCACAATTTTTCTAGTGCATTTGAGTGTTCAGAAACAATAAAAATTGATACATTATTTAAGTTAGTAGCAACATTCATCATTTGTAAAAAGATATTAATTGGCACTTTAGACAATAATGATGTTGAACTATTTGTTTGATAATATTGTACTCTGTTTTCTCAAACTTCAATTGCCTCGATCATGTTACATTCCATACTAATAACATTAAAAGGGCCAGTTATATTAGATAAAAACACTGCTTTAACTGACTGCAAACAGACTTCATTATCTAACCGCACTTCAGAAACAATTTTTCTTGCAATAAGTTCCTTATAAAATTGTCCTACTATAATATCTTTCGGTACAGGAACACCAATCCAGTCTACTTTTACACTTTCTGCCTTAATATGTACAGATATAACAAGCATTTAGACTTTAATCGAAAATTAATAAAGCTCAATACTTTTGCTAGAATATGTAACTATAATTTCATATAGAATAAGCGACATAAATTACGTAGATTGTAATTTATACTTGCACAATTTAGGGAGCAACAAAAAATAATCCAAGTTAACAAAGAAATTAAAAAGGTAAGTAAGCAAGAAAAAACTGCTTACTCATGTGAATAACTAGTTAGAAGATTGAGGAAACTAGACTTCAGTAACCCGGATCGATAAATGCTATTTTGGGAAATTTAATGTACTTAATTATGTTCTAATCATTCTATATACTGTATATGAACAATGATAATTCAATGTGGCAAAGATTAGCATCACAAGGAAAGTGCAATTAAAGTTTAGGTTGACTTTATATCAGCGTCCGGATTCGGTAATTACGAAATAATTGTTGACCTCCAAGCAAGATTCAACCAAGTACAGCTAAGTATATCAGTATATATAACGAAGCAAACATGTCTACACATGCAGTATCTAACCACATTGCGTATATTCTATTTGCGACCCTTATTCCACTCTCCCACAGTGAAATTAAAAAAAAAAAAAAAATCCAACCGTCTGACCGGAATTTCGAAATCCATGTAATGCAAAACGAAAAATCAACTTTGTGTGGCCTTATATTTAGTTTACAGATCACATCACGAAATTTATCTATTTAATATTATTAAGCAATTAATGAATTTAGTATCATCAATTAATTGTTATATACTATGTGATATAGACGCAAATCCACAAGGATATGGACAAAGAAGAGCAAATGATTGAGAATGAAGTGACAGCACGATTTACAATAAAAGACGACACAAAAACATAACCTTTAACGAAAGAGCAGAAGGACAAGAAAACCAAACATGTAATGCAAATGAGGTTTGTTGTAAAGAAAGTTGTATTTATAAAAAAATTTATTTTATTATTAATCATCATAAGGAATTTCAACATAATCAATGGGACCGCTTACTAAAAAATAAATATATTAAAAAAATAAAGTCTAAATCTAACTTAAAAATATAAAAACCATTACCTGAATCTATCACATTTGCTATATTCATATATTTAGAAGTTTTATAATCAATGATCTAATTTTAAAAAATATAGTGTAAATCCAATTTAAAAATAAAATAAAAAATCATTACCTAAATCTACCGCATTCACTATATTCACAAATTCAGAAGATTTTATAATGAGTAATATAATTTTTAAAAAATATAAATGGGCAGACTAATATTTAGAAAAAATATTTTAACTTCATAACTCATATCTTGATAAAATTTAAAGCCATTTTAATCAAGATAATCTTAATTTTTTAAAATCAGCCTGTTTCTATTGACGGCAGTTAAAATATTATTACCTGGTTTAGGAAGTTTTTGAAAATTTAACAATCGACTAGTATAAATTGCTTGTGGGTGTGTCTGATATTTAGGTAGTGCTGATTGTGCTTGATAATATATTGGAGCACTTTTATTAATTTTCTCTACTTCTGTGTATAAATCTGTTTCTTTTTTTTCTACATTTTTATAATATTGCCCAAGTGTATTTTTCAATTCTTCAGCAGTTGGTCGGTATCGAGGATCAGCACTTAAGCATTCGCTCATTAAATTCAAAAGTAATTGTGGAACTTCACATCTGATTTCAGGTCTACGACCACTGCAAATTTGAATTGCCAAATCATCATTGAATGGGACGTTATAATATGGAGGATATCCAGTAAAAACCTCTGACATTATTATTCCGAAAGAATAAATATCAGATTTTTTATTGTATCCTTTACCTCCTTTATACAATACAACGGGGTCAATATAAGGAAGTACACCGAGAAGCACCTCAGAATGTAAACCACAATACAAATCTTGTGTACACAGCTGAAAGTCAATCAGTTTTGGCAAATTATTCTGCATTATAAAATTAAGCGGGTGTAAATCACGATGTAAGAATCCGTTGTTATGTAAATGATCTATTGCTTTAGCTGCGTAATGAAGCATATTTAATTTATCTTTCCAGGTTAAGCTGTCAAAGTTATTTTGTATGAATTGTCTTAAGTTTCCTTGAGTGCCTAATTCCATCACAGTCACCAATTCTCTTGTTGATGTTATTAACGAAATTCCATAAAGTTGACAAACAAATTCACTATTAGATAAAACGAAATGTGTGTATAGCTTGAAAGGCGAAACAGACCATTTGAAATTAGCCATGAGATGGTTTAATATTTTCATATCATAGGAAGCAAGTACATACTTCATTAAACACATTTTCTTCATTTTGCTCAAAAAGCTTTTTCAACGCCACATCCTTTTCACCTCCAACATTCCATGAACCATCTCTGAAATTCCATTCCCTATAGCCACCGCCAATCCAAATAGCCTTACTTACTGAAGAAAAGCCACCTTCATCGAAAGATCTTATGTTTTTAAAATTTGAAAATCGAATAAATTCAATTGATTTTCCATTTGTAATGCTTGAAGATCGTACTTGTTGTTTGTGAATCCATTCATCAATCTTCGGATAACCACTAGTCCATCTTGTCCAGTCAGTCTTCAAATATGCATATAAGCAATGTATGCAAGGATCGGAAGCGTTAATAGTGTCAAAATTATTTTCACAACGAGTGCATGTATAAGGCAATCCTTCTTTTATCCGATATTTGCGGACTTGTGTTTGAGTTTTACCGTTTACTTTATATTCTTTTCCTTCATCGACACATTTTGGACAAATTCTGATAAAACCGTCCCATTCATATTCGAACTCACAATTGCACCCATAGCATTCAATGAATGGAAATTCAAAATCAGGTACTAATTAATTGTTAATGAGTTAGCAATTAAATTTAATTTCAAACGAACTGCTACATACCGTTTACTTCATCCATAACTGTATCATCCGTTAAAGCTTTAAGAGTTTCTAACACGACTTCAACGGGAGGGCGTTGGTCTGGATCTGATTCCCAGCAATTTCGATATAGTTCTTTGTATTTATCGGGAGTACCTTCAATTGGATCCTCACGTTTGCCTTTTATAATACTGATATGTAAAGCAATGTCTAACAAAGAATGTTCATGAAATGGAGGTCTACAACTTGAAACTTCCCAAAAAAGAACCCCTAATGCATAAATATCAGATTTTTTATTCCGATATTTAATGTCCTGTAATCGTTTCGGATCAACATATGGTAACATTCCGACAACGTTTCCCGCTGTGATCGAATTAGTCATTAGGCTTCTGGAAGCACCAAAGTCAGCTAATTTTGCTATTCCATTCATTATTAAAACATTATTTGAATGCTAAAGAATAAAAGAAATAGTTAATATTGACAATAATTAATCATTTTGTGCATAATTTCGTTAACTTACTAAGTCCAGATGAACAATTTTTGCATTGTGTAGAGCTAGTAGTCCATTAGCAATCTCGGTTGAGAGTTTAATTTTATCAGGCCAACTTAATTCTTTTTTTTTTGAACATAGATAATTTCTAAGAGTACCACCATCAGCATAATCAAGAACAAGCCGATATAATTTTGTTGTTGGATCTTTTTATGTATGATTAATTAATGAATGTACAAAATTATCTGATAATGAATTAATAATATATATATACCTTGAGATACTCCAAGCAATTGGATAACATATTTAGAATTGTATAGCATATTCTGTAATTTCAACTATAGAATAAAAAAGTTTAGAAATAAATATTACGATATTATAATTTTAGATAATTATGCTAGTATACACAACCTCACGAATAAAAGCACGTCGTGAATATTCATCATCTTCTTGTAAATTTATTATCCGTTTACATGCGACCAATATTCCTTTCGCCTTCCATTCACATTTTGTTACTTCTCCATATCCACCCCTGCCAATAACCTCTTCATTTTTCAATTGGTCAGGTGCAATCTCTACAAGAAAACCTTTCTTGATGGCTTCTTCAAGCCATTCGCTCACAAGCGTCATAGTTCTTCTTTAAAAAAAAGAATTTTAATATAATGCACATAAAGATCTGACTCAACGATTAAATATTTATTTATATTACAAATAGTGTTACACGAGTTTTTTTTATTTTACTATATCGAAAAGCATCGCATTACACATTCCCAGTTTTGGACTATGCCGGCAAAATATTTTAGGCCGGAAGTGATCATTTATTTATAAAGAAATTAAAATGACATCAGTTAGCAGCACATGAGTAATGGGCCGGTGATGGCCAGAACGGCGATGACATCCCGAAAAAATTTGCAACATCATTTGCGCTGGGAGTCGCCGTAGGATTTGACAGCCGGTGGTTTCCCGCCTGCCGAAGCAGGCCGGCTGTTAGCAGAGAGACGGGTGAGTAGAGAAATGGCAGAATCACGTGGCATCCAAAGAAGAATTCCGTGATCCTGTTATTTCTTTACTGTATCTTCGATGGTCTGCTCAATTGACCTCTTATTAATATATATTTTATTGATTTATTTTATTATATATATATGTATATATTTATATTTATTACTGTTATTATTATTTTCCAATTGCCTGTTCGACTTGTATCTCGTGTTCGTCCGATTAAACATCCTATTACCTCTTTTTTTTTTTATATGTATATATATATGTGCACAGCATATGACGTGACCGAGCTTATTCCAACGATATTGTTTAGTGAGGTCGTATGTTATATGCTTTTGTTAGTATGAGAGCGACCATGGAGGGGTGTGCCCGGATGTATCTGTAAAACGTTTCTGAGTCCCACCGTCCGATTTTCTGAATCATTACTGGTTGCACGCCTCGCATCACTAGCTCTGTCGTTCCACCAGCCCTAAAGCTATGTCCAGAGACATCCGCATTTGGTAATGTTGACCTGAGCTTGTTACAGAACCAGCGTTTGGTGGCCCATAGACCATTGGTTCTTATAAATAAACTATTATTCCCTGGAGCGTAAGACGGATTTGTGCGACAGATAATGTATGCTTTGAGGGATTTAATGGGACATAGCCTGTCCTTGGTAGAGTTTATAACTAGCGACGTCCTATTTGCTGATTTGTGATTCTTTGTTCTTGCTAACTGGATTGTGGCGAATGTTATAACATTGATATTCTCAAATCTTAATGCTTCCAAGCATGGAACTTTATCTTCATCAGATTTATTGTTTGGTAAGAGCTCGCCTAGGCGTGCCAGACCATAAAATGCTGTTAGTGTCACAGTCCAGAATAGCAGGTCATCAGAGTTCTCAAGCCTAAGGCTGTGCCTCATTTGATCCAGGTGGGTTCTTGTGATGTGTGCTTTCTGTTTTACTGGTTTATGCGTATGGTTTGCATCAATTGTTTTGAGTAATTCTTTTACTAGTGGTCATTCCGGATGTGTCCCCAGTCATATGAGTTTCTTGTATGGTGGAACCTAAGTGCTGACAGGTAAGAGTTTATTGTTGGAGGGGATACTTCATTAGTTAGCGCTTTAATATACTTAACCAAGGAGTCTTTGGATATGGGCCATATGCTGTTATCCTCATTTTCCCACTGATGTTTCTTAGCTAACGTTTGGTATCTTCTGATGATTGCTTCATAGGTGTTATGTCTAGGTGGGTTGAGGTCTAGGATGTTCGCTGCCTGTTGATCTATTGGTATCTTGTCTTTGAAGCCTGTTAAGTTTTGGTATTGTTTATTATTTATGTTATCATTGTTCTTTGTTTTGCTCATATGTTTCTTCTGCTTCTGTGTTTTCTGATCTATTGCATTAATGATGAGGTAAAGAAGATTATATTAGTGTATTCAGGTGGAATATCAGGTTGAAGATATCATGTTACAGGGTTCCTGATCAAATATTCTTTGTATTTGCCTCTTGATAGTACATCTGCATCTGTATTCTGTTTGCCTGGTATATGTTCTAATTTTATTGAAAAATTCAGTTGAATTTGAGCTTCGTATATTTGCGCAATGATTTTGTTGACTACTGAGTTTTTACAAAACCCAGAATAGTATGCCTCTACATTAGTCATATTATCAGTTCATATAATTAGTTTTCTTCTAGACCATAGTGGAGAGAATGTGCGAATTGCTATAAAGGTTGTTAGTAATTCTCACTCCTGAATGTTATAAATTGTACTAACTTTACAATTGGACCATCTAAATGCTGTAAAATAGTTCTGAAAAGTTACATCACCTTCAATGTTTGAAGTGTCTGTATATAGGTTATATATATTTGGTTGGTGCCATGCTTGGTCTTCTATCAAGTATGTACCAGGCCATCTTACTATAATTCCACATCACTACTGGATGTTTGCAACCATTGGACTGGTTATTATTACATGATGTTTCAAGCCTTTGACTGTTTCCTGTGCTTTTATAAACTGTTGAATGAATGGTCTTTCTTGAGAAAGTACTTGACACACTCACATTAGAGAACCAACAATTGATTGAAGGTCTTTTTTATAACATCATGTTTTATTAGCTCATTTGGCAAGAAGATTTTGTATTTTTTGTCTTTTTTGTGATGAAATTAACACAAACATTGTTTCTGTATCTATTAAAATACCTAGAAATATTATATGTATACTAGGGGGTCTTCCAATTTAGACTTTTTGAATGGTATTCTCATTATGTTTAGTATACACAAAAATTGTTGAAATTCTTAATGATCATTAGCTCTAGATATTATTAGAAAGTCATCAACATAATGGATTATTGATTTGATATCTTGCTGTGTGGTTATCCATATAATCACATCTGCAAACCTACAAAATATACTACCTGAGGTTTTGTTTTCGAATGCTAGTACTTTGTCAAAATATATGTTATCACCAATCTTCATTCCTTGAAGAACCTGGTCTACAGGATGTATAAGCAATATACAATATGCATCCTTAACATTAATTTTAAATAATATACATTTTGGCTAAACTGTAGTTTAGCATATATTAATGTATTCAATAATCACAATGTGATATCATCAGATTGATAATATGTTGTAAAACATAGTGTTTTAATAAATAATTTCCAGAGTCTGTTTTTGTTTACTTTGTGCCAAATAAATTCAAATAAATGTAATTCAATCAAATCTTTATTTCAATTTTATGAGGCAATCTGTAGCTTAATGTCATTTCACAATCCTACTATGGTATTTGTATATGCACCTGTTTTGGGATCTACAAAATTTTTTGAATTGTTAATTGTTTTATGTTTGAATTCTAGTTCATTGATATTCAGGTAATCTTTTCAACAATCTGCATAAACAATAGATCCTTTTTCAACATATTTATCTAAAATATCTTTAATTGTTTATTCATCACGTTTCTGTACCTTTATCAAAAAGCATTGTTTTTGTTTTAATATCACCAATAATCCATACATCATCAATAACTCTATCATGATAATATTTTCTTCTTCTAAATTTAGATTTATCGATTTCAATAATGATTCCTTCTCTGCCGATTTTGTTTTTATAATCTTTTAAAGTATTAATAACTAATTCTCGATAGAATTTTATATAATCAGTTATTGTATTTGGTGAATAGTCTGTCATTTTTTCAATCGAATAATAATTGCATTTAGATAACAAAAATAATCAAACATTATTATAAGATTGCATTTTACATGTCCTTTTGAAAAGAAGAAATCTTTGAATATTGAAACTGACTTACTATATCTTTTATTTATACAACTAAATCTTTAAACAAATTTGTTTTAATATTTTACATTCTTTAGATTTATACAAAATATTATTATTGAATAAAAATTTAATATATTCATTTTCATCTATAAAAATCTTTACTATTGAAATAAAAGTTGAATACAAAATTGTTACTAAACTAAAAAATGAATTACAACTTTTTATATGAATACAAATTATATAACTAAATAAACAAGAATTAGAATTCTTTTCTTTCTCTTTACATTATTTTTCTTTGTCTCTTTGATTTTGTAATAAATAAAGAAAATGTTTATCATTAATAGATAACTTTTAATCAATCTTTATATCAGTTTCATCAACCCAACTGTTACATCTTATTATGTTTTTTCTTATTATCTTTAGTTCTTCAATAGTTTTTATAAATGAAATGTGTTAAATTATTTTTGTTTTTAATAGTAGGTTTAATATTAAATAAATATTGATTTAGTTCTTTATATTATACAATCTTTCAATACTTCTTTTTATATTTTATTTTCTGGTTAAAATTTAGTTACAAAATAATCTTTTTTTTCTGATTTTAATAATATAAAGATGAGTACATTTTTGGTTTAATCAATAAAGTATAATCATCTAAATTTTATATTAATTATATTAAAGGTTTGAACTCTTCATTTTCAGTTCAGTTTGGGTCTTAACATATAATTGAAGAAATATTTCTTTTTTAAAAATTATCTGTCTATTTTGGAATGGGTTTTAGATTTCTTTTTGTGTTTCAACATGATCAAAATCAAAATTTAAGTAATAATAAAAAATCCAAATCATGTGTCTGCATGAACTGATTAGCATACAAATATGAAAATTTATAGAAAAAAATTTCTAATCAAACTATTGGTAAATGATGAATAAAAGGAATGAAAATAATACAAAATCTGCAGGTTTCACATCTGCAAAGTTATACAGTGTAACAATATGAAATTTCATATACTTTCTGCATCTACAAAAATATTTTCTCTTACAGAATTTTTGCAAAATGTTATTAAATAAAAGGCAGTTTAAATCTGAAATACCCATTAGATCACATGATTATAGTTTTATATACTTTCTAAAATTGAAAAATATATAGTAAATCACCTGTTCTGCTGTTTTATCCAATCATCAAAAATTTTTGTCTCTGATTTTTTTCACTTAATTAGTTATGAAATTTCATGTACTTTCCAATTTAGCAACATATATATTCTTAAAATTTCATGTACTTGATAGACATGATCATTATTCTTTTTATTCAAGTCATATGATTTTTAGGTAATGTATGCTCAGGTTTGTTTATAAAACTGATTTGTACTGATCTTGGTTATCTATTTTCCAGTTCGATGACACTAAAAGTATAATAAGATATAGTAATTTTATATACATGATCTACTACTAATTATTATGTATTTGTTTTATAGATATATAATATTTATATATAATAGTATGTTTGGTGTAATATTTTACTATGCTATACATGGACTGTTAGTACAAGGCCTAGAGTTAAAAAGTAGACTTTACTCACTCAATGATCATTTAATATTCTAGTTTTATTTTTATTAGTTTTTTTACTAAGAGTAAGTTTCGTTCACTTAATAGTCATCTGATATTTCATTTTATTTTTATTAATTTCTTTACTAAAAGTGAGCTTTACTCACTCAATAATCATCTGATATTCTAGTTTTATTTTTATTAGTTTCTTTACTAAGAGTGAGCTTTGCTCATTCAATAGTCATCTGATATTTCAGTTTTATTTTTATTGGTTTCTTTACTGAGAATAAGTTTTGCTTACTTAATAGTTGTCTGATATTCTAGTTTTATTTTTATTGGTTTCTTTACTGAGAGTGAGCTTCACTCACTCAATAGTCATCTGATATTTCAGTTTTATTTTTATTGGTTTCTTTACTGAGAGTGAGTTTTGCTTACTCAATAGTTATCTAATATTTCAGTTTTTTTTTATTGGTTTCTTTACTGAGAGTGAGTTTTGCTTACTCAATAGTCATCTGATATTTTAGTTTTATTTTTATTGCTTTCTTTACTAATAGTAAGTTTTATCACTCAATAGTCATTTGATATTCCAGTTTTATTTTTATTGGTTTCTTTACTGAGAATGAGTTTTGATCACTCAATAGTCATCTGATATTCCAGTTTTATTTTTATTAGTTTCTTTACTGAGAGTGAGTTTTGCTCACTCAATAGTCATCTGATATTCCAGTTTTATTTTTATTGGTTTCTTTTATGAATTACAAATTCGTAATACATTATTTTTTATTTAAAAGTGCTTAATTATTAAAAATATTTTTTTTAAATAAATATTCAAATTCATCCAAAAACTAGTCCTCCTGTATACAATACTAAAAAGCAATTTAAGTTTATATTGAACTCTCATTTATTAAGAAAAAGAAAACCTTCATTATGAAAAACAAAGCAACCAAATATCAAGAAAACTAATTCTAAAAATAAAACTAATACCAAAAAAAAAACTAATTTGAAAACTGAAAAGAAATTAAAAATAGTTTCTTTATCTGAAGAAATTATTATAAAAAATAAGAAATACAAAATAGAAGACTCATATGATAAGATTTTTAATAATGATAAAAATTGTTATTGTTATTCTTGTTTTGAAAAATATAAAGCATTTTCAAAAGAAATTGAACAAGACAAAAAAGAATTAACTAAAGAAATTAAAGTATCGATTTTTGAAAAGATGTTGTAAGATGATAATAAAATAATTACAAAGAACAGTTTTAATATAGAATTGTATCAGTATATGATTAGAGATATCCTTCTAGAAAACAAAAAAGCAAGATTTGAGATTGGATGCAAGAATACTTGAATGATTTTAACAAATTAGACAAAGAATTTTTGAAAATGAAACCTATATATATCTTTTTTACCAAATTTGAAAAACTTGTGTTTTTGGTAGAACATAAGTTTGGTATTACACCAGAGGATGTAGGTAAGGTTTGGGGTCCAGTATTGATTTTTGTCTATAAAAATAATCTACACAAACAGGTTGTACAAAAGTCTGAATACCTAGTAACAAAGAAACTTGATTCAGTTGAGATTTTTTTACTGTAGTTTTAGAAATTGCAAGATTGTATAGGAAGACTATTGTATAGTTTATAGCAAAATATATGTATCTATTTATCAATAAATCATTTTATCATACTTGATTAAAATTTACATTTTTGTTTTCTTACTTAACAATGTTATCTTTTATATTTATTCAAAATGTGTTTTATTTTAAACTTATGTTGATTAAATTATTTCTATTAAACAAACTATCTATTTTAGTCTATACAAGACAATACAGTTCATTTTTTGATTATTATAAGATAAGTCAGTTAATTGATGCTCAACAAGATTTATACTCAGATATGATCTTTCTTATTGAAGATATTTAAACTTTTACTTTATCGATTATAGAACTTAATAATAATCAAGTTACTATACGGTTACAAATTCAAAAGTACCAACTTGTGCTAAATCAATTGTTAGATAACAGAATAGTTAATCTTTCTGAAATATCTGAAAAAATGAATCTGATAATTTATTCAAAGAATTTTAAAAAAAATATTATTTTTACAAAAGATTATTTATTACTTATCTGATAATCTTATTATTGAGTTTTATTTTCTTTTTCTTTTATTTAAAAAAAAAGTATAACAGAGAACTTGTAGAACTAAAAAATAATTTAACTGAATCACATAACAAAGCTCTTGATATAATTAAGAAAGATGTTAATAAGTTTTGTATGAAATCATATTCAATATTTTAAACATTCTTTATTTATAATTTGATTTTTTTGTATTTTGTAAAACATGTTTTATTTCTATTAAAGTTAATTCTTGATAAACTATAAAAGTTAGAATTATTTGTAATACATCTGTATACATAGCTTCTAATTATAAAAATGAATGATAGTAAAGCAAAAAAAATTCTAAGATTTTTTTTTAAATCTAAACAATGGAATACAATACTTTAAACACATGATTTAGCAACAGCTGCACCAAACCAACTAACAAATAAAATGACAACAATCATTATGAGAGGTAACACATATGAAGTAAGACCTGAGAGTTTATTAGGAAAGATGCTAGAAAAATCAACAGCACAAAGTCTACAGAGGGTTGGCATTGTGGAGCTTGTCAAAATACTAGAAACAACAGATGTTATAGAAACAAGAATAGACAGATATACAGCATTACTGTTCG